ATAATTTCAAGTCATTAACTGTTTCTTCCATTTTTACTCCTATCACTAAACAAGGAGCTCTGGTGGTACAGTGGTTAAAGTATTTGGCTGCTCTGGTTGGCAGTTCGAACCAGCAGTTACTCCCTGGGAGAAAGATAAGGCAGTCTGTTTCCATAAAGATTTACCGCCTTGGAAACCCTATGGGAAGCAGTTCTACTCTGTCCTATAGGGTCACTATGAGCTGGAATCAACTCAGTGGCAATGGGTTGGGTTTGATTTGGATTTGGTTTGTCTCTAAACAGCATGTGTAGAAAGCTATCTCTTAACCATCATGTGTAAGCATCACCTACTGATTTTCCACAGCTGATGCTCTCTTTCATTCTCCCCATCTCCCCGACTACATTCTTCCCACACACAGGCCACCTGGCTCTTCACCCTCCCCATATAGTTCTATCCACAACTGTCCATGATCGAACTATGCACCATTTGGCCTGGAGATCGTGGATTCATCATTTGTTGGAATCAACAGCCAATATACTACCTGCCAACCTTGAGCTCGTTAGCCCCTGTAGCTGCGTGAGTTGGGAAGAGCCTCCAGCTTGACGTTTGATCCAAGAACTTGAGACTTGCCAGCTTCTATAAGTGTGTGAACCATTTTTTTAGATAAATTTCTCTTTCTATCTATGTATATATAAGCTTTACTGGTTTTGCTTGTCTAGAGAACCCAGCCTAACACACTTACAAAGCAGATTTGTTTTACTCAACAGTTCATGCATACTTGGTTCCACGATCCTGATTACAATCCCAACAATAAAATGCTCTCCTCCCTGTAAGTGAAGGTTTACTTTCACAGCTGATAATCTGGACACAAAATTCTAGGTTGTATATAATTTTCTTGAGAATGTTAAAGGCAATGCTACACTGTCATCTGTCTCCAGTTTTGCTCCTGAGAAGTGTGAAACCATTCAGGTCCTTATGATTAGAATGAGGAGGTGGTCTGCTTTCACTCTCTAGAAGCTTCCAGGATCTGCTCTTTATTCAAGGTCTTTCTTTATTCATTATGCCAGTACTTGGTGGTCCTTAAAGTTTGAAAATGCATTTACCTTCTCTGGAGAATAAGCTTCCAGTATTCTTCTGAGGTGTTATTGATAGTATTGTTGAGGTGGCTCTGACCCATGGTGACCTTATGTGTAACTGAACAAGATGCTGCCCAGTTGTGGGCCATCTGCACGATCACTGGTCCACTGCCACAGCCACCGCGTATTTCGAGTGCCTCCCAGCCTCCAGCACTGTAGCTGACCATATTCTGCTGTGACCCACAGGGTTTTCACTGGCACTGCAGCTGACCATATTCTGCTGTGACCCACAGGGTATTCACTGGCCCCATAGCTGACCATATTCTGCTGTGACCCATGGGGTTTTCATTGGCACCGTACTGATATTCTGCTGCGACCCATGGGGTTTTCACTGGCACTGCAGCTGACCACATTCTGCTGCGACCCATGGGGTTTTCGCTGGCACTGCAGCTGACCATATTCTGCTGCGACCCACGGGGCTTTCACCAGCACTGCAGCTGACCATATTCTGGCATGCTGCATAGGGATTTCACCGGCACCATAGCTGACCATATTCTGCTGCGACCCACAGGGTTTTCACTGGCACCATAGCTGATATTCTGCTGTGACCCACGGGGCTTTCACTGGCACTGCAGCTGACCATATTCTACTGTGACCCACAGGGCTTTCACTGGCTAATATTTGGCAGCAGATTGCCAGGCCTTTCTTCCTAGTCTAAGTCTAGAAGCTCCACTGAAACCTGTCTACCATGGCTGACTCCATTGGTAATTGAAATACTAGTGGCATAGCTTCCAGTGTCACAGAAGCACACAAGCCACCACAGTACAACAAAACAACGTATCAGTGCTGTGCACAATGGCTCCGCCTCATCCTTCAGTCCTCAGTTGAAACATCACCTCTTCAGAGAGGCCTTCCCTAGACACCTGTACGCATCTTCTAAATCTCTCCCTCACTACCACCCCCTGATCCAACATCCTTTGTGTCTGCTCACTAATAGTTATCCCAATTTGTATTTAAGTTTTCTCAATTAAGCTGTAAGTTCCACAAGGAGAAAAAAATGTGCTAATATTGTGCCTAGTGCTTAAGAGGAGCTTGATAAGGTTGTAGTCATGTCTTGCCCACAGCCAGCTACCCTGAGGGAGTGAGTAGTTGGAGCAGTGGGCTCAGGACTATGGTTTCAGGGCACATCAAGCTCAAATGGCATAACATACTACACAAAAACATTGTTCCACATCCTACTCTGGTGAGCAGTAAATAGAATCTTAAAAGTTTGCAAGCAGCCATCTAGATGCAATGATGGATCTCTCCTCATCCAGAGCAAAGAAGAATGAAGGAAACCAAAGACTCATGGAAACCATTAGTCCAAGGGACTGGTAGACCACACGAGCCTCAGCCTGTATGACTATGAGACCAGAAGAACTAGATGATGCCCAGCTACCACTGTCAACCACTTGGAGGGTATCGGTGCAGGAGATCCTGGATAGAATGGGAGAACAATGCAGAACAAAATCATTTTAAAAAAAAGGGGGGGGGGAGCAGGTTTGCTGGTCTGATAGAGCCTAGTGGAACTCCTGAGACTGGCTCTTAGCTGTCTTTCAGCTCTGGAATTGATCCCACTCCTGTGGCTTCCAGCCAAACAAAAGACAGGTATATGAGCTCACATTTATGTTAGGTAGATACAATCCCTGGACAGATCAATCATGGGAGAATAAAAGGGCTGTGTATGCACAGGGAGACAGCTCAGGGGGCAGGAGTCCATGGGAGGGAAGGACACAGAGAAGAGGTAACTATGGGGAAGAACTAGAAAGAGAGCTGGTGTATTGTGGGAAATAGCAGTCAATGTCGAGAGACAAAAGTGTATGTGAAAATGAATTTGCTCTGTAAACTTTCACCCAAAATTTTGTTTTTACAAAAGAAGAGCTTGATATGTGTTAGTTAAATGAATGAAGAAGTATCCCTACTATCAATCAATATCTCAGTACTATATATGAAACTACTTCTGTCACAATAGAAATGTAATCTTGTTAAGATATACAACAGTTTTCAGAAGTAAGAATAGACTCAAAATGCTTTAGAAATTTCTGCTTATACATGAGAAGCTAATATTTCATTCCAAGTCTCATGTTGTGGACAAATGAAGTTACAGGAAGTTTCAGAAAGTGCCAGGAGAAGAGACTGATATTTACCAATCCCTTTGTGAGGATCAGGGGGACAGGAGACAAACTTCAGCACTTCAGCTCGTTTCTCTCTCAGACCCCAGCGATAGAGGATTTCTCCATAGCATTTCTTAAAGTCATCAAATTGCTGGGCATTGGCAGGGTCCAGGAGCCTGGATGAATTTTAAATTGCTGTCAGTTCATTTAAGAAAAGACAAACTCAATACCAGGTAGCATTTAATATACTTTTCTTAAAGCAAGTATCATTTTGGAGAATCTAAGAGTTAAGAAATAGTAGCCTCACAGGGAAAGATCATGACCTTTTGTTTTTATCATGCTGGTCACGCTCTCGCTCACGAGGGTCACTGAAGGTCAGACTCCCAAAGCGTATCTCTTCTGGTGAAGATTCTCCCCAGGGTGAAGATAAATGTTCTGTCTCTCTTCCTGCTGAAGAAAACCAAATGGGAATGGAAGATGGCAATCGGGGAAAGCATGTAAAATATCTGAAAACTCTACCTTAATACAATGAATCCAATTTATCCCCTGGCAGAAAATTCAACTAAGATAGAAGTCCTGAGAAATGCAACTAAGAGAACTCTTCCCCACTCTTCCCTTTTGTCTAGATATTTATTAAGGTAAACTTGTCAGTGAGTACACATAGAACAATTAAGCAAATTTTGGTATATCAACATAATGGAATATTATGCAATCGTTATTTATAAAGACTATTAAATGCTATGAGAAAATGCATATGATAAAATAAAAACACGGAACACAAAATTACATATACAAAATGATCCCTCACATATGCGAAAATTGGAGGAAAATGGTCCAAATGTTAACACATGTTATTTCTCGGTGAGAAGATTATTAATAATTATTATTTTCTTCTCTAATATTGTTTGTATGTTTTTCTTCACTGGGGCATGTATTACCATATTATTACACAAGCAACACACATAATACCTTATTTTGCAAATAGTGCAACCCTATCACATATTAGTTTTCCATGCACATGATACATGTTATTTGTGTGGGTGTGTTATATGCAAAAACAAAACAAAACTGTGCTTTTATAGTCAAGAAAGATAAAATCATTTAAAGAACAAAACAAAACATCAGAAAACACAAAGACAGCTACTTGAGATGGACCTTTATGGCTAGCAGGAGTCAGATCTAGCCTTCTTTCTCTACACTGGAAGAAGTAGACAACAGGAAGGATTTAAATGGAATGCAAGTGACAAATGAAGGAGAAAGATAAGGTTAGGTTTGGGGAGTGAACAGTGGGAAGTTCCAGTATCAGCTACAAGATGAAAAGAAACCCAGCAAGAGGCAAGAAACTGGGCTGTTCAAACAAGAAAGCTGAGGTCTTGCTCGGTAGTAGTTTCCTTATCTTCCGAAATTTAAAGACAAATGGAAAACAAGGAGAAACATGGAAAATAGTCATCTATAACAGAGTACATACTCACAACATGCACACAGCTTTTACTGGACTGAAAAGCTAGCATATGTGAAGTCATTTCCATACCAACCTATGTTCCAGCCACCAGTGTTGAGCCCTGGGTCTGACATACTTGAGCAGGAACCAGAGGAAGTGAAGCTAGGCTGCAAATGGGATGAGAAGAACAAGAAGGAGGAACATCAAAGTACTATTCAACATGGAATTTCACATTCAGAAATAACTGGACACAAACCAGGAAACCACAGACTTACATATCGACTATGGGACACCACAAAATTGGAAGAACGGTTGGGAAAAGGCCCGAAGGGGTTTGGTATCCCCTGAGGTCTAGACTGGGCTTCAAATACGCTGCAAAGCATAGCCAATGTCTGAACATCACGAAGTTGACAATAATGAGCTAACCTGAAGAAAAAGATGAGAGGAAAAGAAGTCAAGATAAGGGATCAAGGATAACTACCACAATTATGGTGGGTTGTTTGCCATAAGGGTAAGAAGGAAGGATTTCTAATTGGGCCTCAAAACGCTTATCAGGAACTGGGGCTTTCTACAGAGTAAGTGGTTTGGTTAAGTTTGTTTTGGAACAAAATGTATCAGAGTATTACCAATCCAAAAGCTTCTGCTGGCATCAAGACATAAGCTCAAACTTTAATGTCACTTTGCCAAGAAGTAAATTGATTAATGCAACATCTGAGTGATGCAATACATGCTTTCTCAGTATCCCTCCAAGGAAGATCACAACGCTTTTTGAGGGCTCTCTATAGACTTCATTCTTATCATGTAAAGATACATGAAGGCAGACAGAATACTGTACTACCAACCCACAGCAATCAGTCAACAGACTAGTGAATTATGAATCAGAGCTATTAAAGAACAAAGGATATTTTTACCTTTTAGGTACTCAGACCCCCTTTGTTCCTTTCAGGCTCACTCTGCGTGAAAGTGAGGTTGGGATCAGGACTCTTTTTTTTTTTGTGATGGCACAGTGTCACTACCTTCCTGTCACTCAACATCTAATCACCTGCTATCTCATTTGGTAGGTAGAACAAGCATTATCATCCCTGTGTCAATGATCAGGCAGCTAAAGCATGAGCACTGGGCTGGTCTGGCCTAAATAGCTGGTAAGGCAAGGTCCAACCCAAAGGGAATAGAGCTCCTCTGTTCAGGACCTGGGCCTCAGGACTATGGAGGTTCAGGTGGTTTTATAAACAACATGCATTACGTAATTTCTTCCGTTACATGAAGTTAGTTCCGCACAGAAATTGGGCACTAAAAGGAAAGCTTTCTCTTCCTGATTCCTAAGGCCTCTGCATCTTCTCTTAGACAGTAGCATTTAAAGTGTTCACAGACCTCAAGTTTACGTTATTCATTTTCCCCACATTTAGCCCTGAAAACCTACAGAGACTCCAGCAGCTGTCGCCCGAATGGATGTCGAGCCCAGGGTGTTTCCAAATCTGGGTCAGACTTTGGACCAAGACAAAGATCTGTAGCTACTGTAGCCAGCGACCAAACCTGGACAGACCAAAGAGAAACATGTAACTCAGACTGGTGAGGTTAGGAAGAGAAATCAGAGCAGAACCCCACCCTTCTCCTGATGCGGCATAAAGCCTAGGGACTCTGAGGGAGGCAAAAGCTGGGAGCTCAGGGAAATGCAGAACATTAGGCCCCACTCTCAAACTACTGAATCGCAATTTGCATTTTAACTAGATCTTCAGGGAACTTGTATAGGAAACAATAGGCTAAAAAAAACTCTTCATGTTAAACAGACTTCAGAGAAATTAACCCAGTGCAACAATTTCAATGGGTTCACTATTTAAACACTAACTCACATGACCTTCTGCTGCTTCATTAGTGATCTATCCTTCACCCAAAGGATGAAAAACTTTGTTGCCTTCATTACAAAAGTTTCAGTATACTCTTTGAAGCTTAAGAAAAATAGGCCAAGACAAAATAGACTTGGCTTTCTTTTTGACATCCAATCTGGGGAATACCTCCAAACTTGAAACTTCATGGGGTACGGATACCAAGCAGCAACACATGTCCATTAAGTGTCTATTAAATCCTAGAGACAAAGCTAAATACATCACGCTATAAAGAAAGCCCCCCACCTTTTAAAAAATCTAACAGTAATTTTGGAAAATCTTTCTTCATAGCAACACATCATTGTATGCCCACTAACTGAAAAACATGCTAGAATCTGTGAGAAATTAGAAAGGATAAAGATGTGGAATTTGAATCAAAGAGTTTATAACTGAAGAAGAACAAATAAGCAAAGAAAAATAGAGAAACACAATCAGCCATATCAAATCAATTAAATTATGTGGCACCAACAAGCTTAAATAACACATACACATTGGTTAACAGGAGAAACCCGAGGTTTCCATTCATCCCTAGAATAAATATCCATCTGAATGGCTGCTGAAAGAGGTTAATGGCTTTCTGGAACAAGATGTTTGCTACCTTGACTGACATTATGGGCATTATATTGTCCTATCTATAATAACCATTTCCTAAGTGCCTTCAACAGAAAGAGTGACACTTGGGTTTATTTCTGTAACTCTGCAAAATAGCAGACACATCTTCAACACATGCATAAAGAACAACAACAATTCTTCAAGCACTTTCATGAGTGTCACTGTGGCAGTACCATGCCACAAATGTGGATCGTAATTACAAGAAAAACAGAAGCAGCTGGACCAGACTTTGGGCATTTACCTACCAGGCCTGGGTACGGGAGCCTTGCATACATTTCCTTATTCAGTTCTCATCACGACATGGGAAGTATTGCTCCCATTTTGCAGCTGAGGGAATTGAGGTTCAGAAAAACGAGCTAACTTGCCAATATCACACAATGAAAGAGGGACAGAGCTCA